CACACACACACACACACACACACACACACACACACACACAGAGTATTCTCGCTGCGCCCCCCATTCCCCGGGAAGTCGGGTCAAAGCTGCGCATGGAAGATATGCTACTGTCTACTCTCCAGAATGGATTCAGAGTTGGAGAGGGAGGCGGCTGTTGAGAAACAGTCTGTTTTCGATTCTCTGGGCAGGGGACCATGAACGCAGGCGAGAGAGAGGAGTTGGGTTGGGAAGAGGGCTCACTCCGAGCGCAGGGCCAAGCTGCTGAGCTGCCTGGAGCCGAGGGGCGGCGGGGTCTGCTGCACCGCGCGCGCTCAGTCACCGTAGCTCCGCCCCCAACTCCTGCTCAGAGTGATTGACGCACGGCCGCCGGGAAACCCACGGCGCGGAGGTAAGGCAGGGTGCAGTTCAGGCCAGCGATTGGGCGACACACCGGCCAGAACTACTTTCTTCACAAACAGTGTAGGAGTTACCTTGCTATCCCCGCACTCTCCTTTTCCTTTTTGGAAAAGTTTATTCAGAGTCGACCCTATCTTCCAGATCCAGCGAAACTGCCCCATGTAATTAACACAACCATTAGCTGGCGTTGCCGCGCTCGGGCCTCTGTGCCCCAGGCGACCACAACAAAGCTGGGCAGGGAGTGACGGCCAAGCCTCCTCGTTTGGCATCCTCTCCCTCCCTCCCTCCCAGTCTTTTCCTCCGGTGCTACCCAGCTCTAAGTGAGGTCCACTTCAGAGGTGCACCCCAGTGCCGCACGCGCGCGCACGAACACACACACACACACACACCCCTTTGGCGAAATCAGAAAACATCAAACAGCCAAACGACTACCTCCCCGTTTCCTCCCTCCCGATTCCGCCGCGGCCCCCAAAGGCTCTCCAGGGTGACCCTTGTCCGCTTCGCTAGAAGGGAGTGCTCTCTGAGTTACGCTGGTCTCTTCTTGTCCTGGAAAAAATGAATGCTGACAACAAGGGTCCTGGATCGGCTCAGGGAAAAGTAAAAACAAAAAAACCCAAAAAAACAAAAAGCAAAAAAAAAAACCCAAAAATCAAAAACCAAAAACCAAAAACAAAACAAAAAAAAACCTCAAGCCCGGCGGTGCTACCGTCTGCAGAGCCTGCTGCCTCTAGATAGAAGCCGAAAGCCTTCGGGGCGCGGTACTCGGCTGGCAGAGGTGTAAGGGCCCGCGCAGAATTAAAAAGGAACAAAAGCAAGAGCGCCATGCCAAACGTCCCCGACCACGACCCTGTTAGGCATGAGGCCGGAGTGATGGGAAAAGAAACTACAAGTAAGTTTCTTTAAAACAATTTAAAAGATCTGAGGCTGTACCGTACTTTCCCTGTGGTTTTCTGCAGTTTTCCTCTCTGCGCTCTCCCTGTCCTCTTCATTCTTTCTCTTTCTCTCTCTCTCTCTCTCTCTCTCTCTCTCTCTCTCTCTCTCTCTCTCTCGCGCGCGCTCCCACAAACACAAGCGCGCACACACACACACACACACACACCCCCCTTCACACACACACCAATCCTCTGACCTAATGAGGTCTTAAGGAACTGTTTTAGAATGCTGAGACCTGATGAAATGATATCGGTCATCCTCCCTTATCAGATTGTTTCGGATAAAAGTGACTCCATCCCCTGGGGTGGTGTGTGTGTGTAAAGGCACAGTACATGCTGGAAGCACAATGGGGACTTTCGGTG